TGTTCCCTCCTGGTGGAATGACCTGCCCAACTCAATCCGAGCGGCTGAGTCCTTAGCCATCTTCAAGAAACGACTAAAAACACATCTGTTCCATCTTTATTTGACCCTCTAACTCTGGCACTCTCTATTCTAATTATATTCTTTAAAAAAACTTGCCCCTTTTAGACTTGCACTAAAAAAAAAACACTAGCTTCTCTAATTTTTTTGTATTCTATCTTTTTGTTTTCTTTTTATTTATTATACAATTAACAAAAGCAAAAAAGGCCTCTAACACTAGCTTGCTCTATTCTTTTTCTATTTTTTTCTGTTTTATTTTTATTTATTATACAATAAATAAATAAATAAAAAAAATAAAAAAAAACTTGCTATTGCGTTAAGTTAACCGAGAATTGTTAAAGCACTTGCATGTCATTGCTCTCTTGTTGATTTTGATTGCTTCCATTGTACTCATTTGTAAGTCGCTTTGGATAAAAGTGTCTGATAAATGACTAAATGTAAATGTATATAGATAATGTTGACTTTAACATTTTTTTTTTTCATTTTTTTGAACTTGAGACCCACTCACTTCAAAAACAGACACTGCAAAAACTGTAATTAAAGAGACATCAAGGACACTGTGGATTAGTTTTGTTTTTGATGGTAATGCGCCACCAAATACACCTACATTTATTTATGTCTGTGCAAATCATTTTACTCCAGACTGCTTTCTGAACGAGGGACAATTCAAGGCAGGTTTAGCTAAAAAGTTAAAACTCAAGGATGTATCAGTACCCACTGTTCGTGATCCAGCTGCACCTCCAGAAGAAATCTCACACTTTATATTTTTATGATTATTTGCAAATCGCCTTTCTTCTTCCACGGAAGAGAGGGGTGGGGTGAGCAGAGCTCATTAGCATTTAAAGATATGCAGCGAAATGGGTGGCTGTGAACAGAGCTGTTTTTGACGCGGTAAAAAGGGTGTTGTTTTACACGACCATTGAGGAATTTTAACTAAAGTATGATGCAGACATTTCAAAAGGCCCTAGCGAATCATAACATCTTGTGGAAAATGGGCATCTGATGTCCCCTTTAAAATAAAAAACAGAAAACAGTTATTTCAAACTGTAAAAATATTTCACAATATTACTGTATTTACACTGGCCGTTGACACTGTAGACCTTTACACTGGCCGTCTCAGAAAGAAAGCCAGTTGTATCATAACGGACCCCACTCACCCTGGACATCACCTGTTTTCCCCTCTGCCCTCTGGGAAGAGATACAGAACAATCAAAACGAGGACTAACAGATTAAAGAACAGTTTCTTCCCTCAGGCAGTCAAATGCATAAATCCTCATCCTTCTCTCCTACTGCTCCCAAGCATTATCGAACAATAAACCAATGTCTCAGGTCTACAAGTGCAATAGTACACGCCACACTGCATATTTGCACTAATCTGTAAATACCTCTCATATGTTTACACAAAACATATACTGTTAAACTTATGTTTATTATTCATACATCCTGATATACATTCCTATAGTATACACCGATACTATGTATACTGTATTCTGCACTGTTGTTTTTGTTTAATTTGCTCCAGTTTGCACTACAGTATCTTGCACTAACCATTGTATATATTACCTTCTGGAATACCTCTCTTCTTGTCTATTTTATTTTTATTTTTATCTATTTATGTTTGTCTATTATGCCAACCTTGTGAGCTGCTAAACAGTCTTGCATTGTTCAAAACAATGACAATAAAAATCTAATCTATTCTATTCTAGTTTTAATCAAATAAATGCAGCCTTGGTAAACATAAAACACTTCTTTCAAAAACATCTACATATGAGGTTTACATTTAAAAAAAACTTGCCTTCCCAGTATATACAGTGGAGATCAAAATTTGAGAACAATCTATAAATACTTGATTTTTTCTGAAATGTTATTGTTAATCTTCATCGCTCAAATTTTGAAGGACTATTAGGTATACCACTGTTATATTAACATGTTTGACAAAATAACCAAGGCATTTCAACAAAAATCTTTATTTTGTGGAAAACACAGTGATCAAAATTAGAGAACAGTAACTACTGTAGCGCGAAAGAAGATTACAACTAAAATTTTGGAGGGTTACAGCTCTCAAAAATTAGTAAGTGTAGAGGCCTTTGCTTTGAGTGACTTCAGCACATCTGCGGCTGCAGGACATCACTAGTTTCTCACACTGCGCTGGTGTGATCTCGGTCCACGCTTCTTCCACTCTCTTCCATAGTTCGGTGACTGTAGTGGGTTTCTTAGCCATAACTTTATTGCCAAGGACTTTCCAGAGATTTTCAGTTGGGCTGAAATTTGTGAATCATTGACACCCACGGTCCAGCTCAGGTCAAGTGTTCGCAAACCCGGACAGCTCTGTGAACTTAATGCTGACACACATAATGAGGAAAAACAACCTGACATTATAAGATCTTTCAAACCTGTGAGGGGGAAAAAAATAAAAAGAGAGAGTATTTTAGTTTTGGGGTGAACTGTCCCTTTAAGGTGCAGTCACCTTCACCGTTCTATGGCCAATTTTCTCTTGTGAAATCCAGTCATTTTGATAGAATTTCACGGTAATTTCTTGTGAGGGTAAAAGTTTCCCCCAAGCAGATTTAACAACAGCGAATTCGCCATGTTGACCAACAGAAAGCTGTTTGTTTAGAAAGTGACTTCTGTGTGAACCGACATTTCACGAATGTGTCACTCCACTTCATGTCACAATATAGAGGTCTCTTTTTTGCTCTTCACTATATTACTGGAGTGTTTCTAAGCTAAAAAGCTCTGTGTCTGCGCTCCTCTTCACCAGGGAGCAGAAATACGGTCAGATACAGTATTTTGCAGGTATCTGAAGTTCGAGTTAGTGCCCCCTGCAGGGCAATGGTGAGTGGGGCAGGAGTGCCTGTAGAATCATATGGCAGGTGCTGTGTAGTGTGGCGGGTGACATGGTGATAGACAAAAGGGGGATGGGGAAGTTAGTCTCTCTAACCTCCACCGTATGTGTAGATCTAAGTGTACTAGTTTACAAAGCACACTAAATGACATTCAGTGAGGCAATAAATTCATAGAGCTGAAATTACATGGTCCTTGTTGTTGTCTTGATTTAAACATCTCATGACGACAAACTCTGGTTTCCACCATGCAGAAATGAAATATATACTATGAAGCTGATCAATGAAGAATCAGTCACCAGTCATGAGGATTTTGAAGACTTTACTGAATTTTCGAGGTGTGTATGTGTTGTGTTCTTGTATTATTGATTCACCAGAAGAGGGCACTGTGGGTTACTAAGTTGGTACCTATAAAAGGTGTAGAAGGATAATTGAATGTGAGCAACCATGTGGCATGCAGGTTGTGTTTGCTGTTGGCCTTTGATGCTAATAAATCCTTGAATTGTAACTTCTGGAATCTGACTCTTCATGCTTACCTGGACTTGAAACACTACAATTACCCATTGCATTCATAAGCTCAACAGACTCGTGTGTGATTGGTTATAATCAGAGGGAATTATTTACTGGTCGTTAATGCATCTGGAGATGAATGGCCTGTTGCAAGAAAGAGAGCTCTATTTCTTCATTGTTTGGGCACAGAAGGTCAGAGATTATTTTATACTTTGCCAAATCAAGGAGAGACGATGGAGGAAGCTATTGAGGTTTTACAAGCATACTTTGTTCCTCGACGGAATGTAATTGCAGAACGGCATGCTTTTAGAAAACGAGCTCAAGTACCTGGTGAAACAGTCCTACAGTATGTAACCTCACTCCGAGATTTAGCAGCCACATGTGAGTTTGGATCAAATCTTGATGAAATGTTACGTGATCAATTAGTAGAAAATGTGGCCAGTCATCGTATTAGAGAAAAGTTGTTGTTGGAGACTGACTTGACCCTTAGTAAAGCCATCACAATTGCTACTCAAATTGAAGCTGCTGGTGAACAAGTTAAAACCATATCAGACCGGAAGGTGGTGCCTGTGCAAGTAATACAAGGAAGGTCTATGGCAGCTGTTGGTCAGTATAAAACTAAATACTCTACTCTAATCTACAAAGCCTTCTGTTTCCTCTAAAACTTTTAAGGCTTCTAAGATGACTTCATCAGTCCGTGCATGTCATCGTTGTGGATCAACAAAACATCTTGCAAGTGATTCTAGATGCCCTGCTGTTTCAGGAAAATGCCATAATTGTCAAAAGATTGGACATTTTTCAAGAGTATGTCGTATGTAACTTACTCTTGATGAGTTAAATTTTTCCCATTTGATGCAGGGTGGAGTTTCAGAACAAATTCTACAGCGGATCTGGATACAAGTTCAACCCGTTTTCCTTTCCATCAATTCAGCATCTAGAGTAAATGTAAATATTCCCTGTAAAAATGGGTTTATACTTCATTTTAAAGCTGGATGTGTTAACCTCTGGTAGTAAAGGGTGATTCATTAATGGGTTTGTTTACCCTGAAAAAAAAAAAATCATTAACTCACCCTTGCGTTGTTCCAAACTTGGTATGACTTGGTTCTATGGAAAACAAAATGAGATGTTTGGAAGAGAAGGTCCTTGCTGCAGAGCCAATGGACGGAGCTTGAAAAGGATGAATTACAAAAATGCAGAATACTAATAAAGGCTTTTGGAACTTGGAACTTGAGAATATTTGTATTCTTCATGATCACGGTTCTTCACAACCCCTTCACATGCAGCAGGTTTTAGCATTTTTTTTGTTTGTTTTTGTCTAAATGCAAATGAAAACTTTCTAGCCCATGTTAATTATCTTTTATAGAATAAGGTCAAACAAATGCACTCTTACCTGAAAGGTGGTATTGAGGAATTAGGAGGCTTGTATACAGGAAAAATAAGAAGCTAATATTTAAATTCTGCACACGGGAAAAAAGACTGAAATCACCAAAACTTAAAACTGAGCCATTAAGTACTAGCCATTAATTGACTGATATTGTACGATTATTATAAAAAGGTATATGCAATGCAATGCATGTTGCTTTGGATTAAAGTATCCGTCAAATGCATAAATATAAATTATTGGCATCAAAATGGATTGAACAGATTATCTGTTTGAATGGAATGTTAGTATTATGATCATTAATTTGTTTATATATATACACATACTAATATTAATATTAATATATATATATATATATATATATATATACAGTGGGTACGGAAAGAATGCCAGTTATCGATTTAAAATTTAAATTTTATTGAGCTGAATGACACATTTTCCAAAACTCATCTTACTGAACAACTGAATCAACACTGAACTGATGTCAGCTAAATAAATGACCTTTTAACATTTTATACAAAATCTTGTATGCTTTAAATGGAGGCAGAGAAATCTGACCTTTTGTACAAAGGAGATCACATGGTCATTGGTCAATGTGACAAATTTGCTTATTTGATTAGTGACCTAGAAATAAAAATTTAACGATTTGTATTTTATATCATACATGTACTTTTCATACATTTTTCTAAACATGACTATATTTCCAGGAATAGAATATCAGACTCTCAACTTGGTTTTAGACTTTTGTGCCCCACTGTAGATCCGCTACCCTGCAGTCTGGCCATTAAAAACCCTCATCAGTTGATCAATATTATTACTATTGTGGCTCTACTTCTATCCTGCAAACCCTTTATCATGCATGATCATCTCAGTATAGAACAGTTAAAATTGGGTATGTGTATAGTCATAAAATGACAAAATATGCATGAATTCTGTGCTAAAAGGCAACATGTGACAAAACAGGAACATTGTTTGCTTTCCCTTTTTATTTTTCTGCTTTTTCATGAAAAAACAAAAGGAACATTATTTTAAAAAGTCCTCAGAAAATAATTGCTATTGTGTTGCTACAAGTTGCAGTTAAATTATAGCTTTCCAAGGGTAAATGAACAACTAAGTCTCAACTGTTAGCAACCCTTTCCTAGTTTAGATAGGACAGGAGAATGCAGGTGAATCGCCTATTTGAGATGACAGCAAGCAAAAGTACAAAACATCAGATGGAAAAAAAACAAAGAAAGAGTGACTGGTACGAGCGAGTAAAAACTTAGTGTGGTGTGTTAAATGTCTACAAACATCCAGGCAGCAGAACCTTCAGAAAGGTTGAACGACCAACATTTGAGTTCAGAAAAAGTCACAAAGAAAGCATGAGTGAACGATCTGGATCGGTTTGCTGAAGTTTCTATGATTTAGAACCATCCTGTGCTGCCACTACATTCTTTGATCAAGTTGTGGTGGATGAGAAGTATCAGGATGTGCCATGTCTGTCATTTTCTTTCTCCTTGCTTCAACTCGTCTGCACCAACAAATCATCAGAACATCAGTGGCCACACCAGGACTGAATCTCTGATCAAACCATCCCTTCCTCATTCACCAAATCCAACCTGGGCTAGATTATGAAGTATAGGAGTCACTTTGGATTAGGCTGAATGCCCAGAGAAGAAGAAAAAGCCACACGCTGAATGTGTCTGGATCGGTCTCATGGGTTGTGGGAATAAAATCCTCCACTTCACTTGAAGACGGCGGTGAAACTATCCTCTCCTGTCAGCCTGTTTTTACTCTTCTACTAGAACAACGGCCATATCCTTCCATCCGTTTCTTTTCTTCAGCCTCATCCTCCCATTCAGGCCAGATGAGCCTGTATTGAGTGGGATGGAGCACTTGTGAGCTCGCTAAGCTGAGCTGTGCGTGTGTTTTTATGTGTGCATGTTATGATATTCTCTGAATGAGTTTGTCCTCGGTCAGACAGAATACGGTGCAGTGGGACAGGTCAGAGATGAAGTTATCACAGCCGCGTCGAGTCACATTCCTACAGCCCCGCAGATCCAACAGAGCCAGAGCCGATAATCGCTTCATATAGGACAGACAAGCATCTGTCAACTTATTACAACCTACAGAGACAGAAAAGATTAATCCACCAACTGTGAGTACCAGACTTTAGCATTACATCACTTGCTTACCAATGCTGTGAATGGGTGTTGTCAGAATAAAAAGTTCTAACAGCTGATAAAACACCACAGTAATCCACATGACTCCAGTCCATCAATTAACATCTTGTGAAGCGAAAAGCTGTTTGTAAGAAACAAATGCACAGAAACATTTTAAACTTCAAACCGTTGCTTCCAGCTAAAATAGCTCTATCCATAATACTGCTTTCTGCAGTGAAAAAGTCATCTCATCTTAATCGGGAGACAAATATCCACAGATCAAACACTGTTTACAGGCAAAAACAGTTCTAAACAAATAGACAACAGGGGATGGACTTTTCCTCTGGAGGAAGTGTTATTATGGACTACTTATAGATTTTGGCCAGAAGCAACAATTTAAAGTTAAAATGCCTTAATGATGGATTTGTTTATTACAAACACAGCGTTTCACTTCACAAGCAGTTAAACTGACATTGTTTGGATAACTTGTGGATTATTGTGATGTTTTTATCAGCAGTTTGGCTCATTCTGACGGCACCCATTCACTGCAGAGGATCCATTGGTGAGTAAGTGATGTAGTATCTCTAAATTTGTTCTGATGAAGAAACAAACTCATCTACATCTCTGATGCTCTGAGGGTGAGCAAACTGTCGCCAATTTGACATTTTTGGGTGAACTATTCCTAAATTTTGAGTGACATATTTTTACATTGCAACTTGCAGCACTCACATTTATTTAATTAAAACGAAATTAAGATTTTATGACCTTACATTTGATCTGGAACTGAATTTAAGACATTAAGATTTTACAATCTTTCACAATCTAGCTTGAGGAGCAGTTCTTACGATTAACGACAACTTTTGCATCAGTAAACTCCTAATTTGCTGCTTATTAATAGTTAGTAAGGTAGTTGTTAAGTTTAGGTATGGGGTAGGATTAAGGGATCTAAAATATGGTCATGCAGAATAAGGCATTAATATGTGCTTTATAAGTACTAATAAACAGCCAAAATTCTAGTAATATGAATACTAATAAGCAACAAGTTAATAGTGAGAATTGGTCCCTAAACTAAAGTGTTACCAAGATTTTGAGTTTGCAGCACCAGTTGTGATAAAAATGTGGGAATAACATATCATGGGTATTTTCAGAAGATAAAGGGTACCTGAAAGATTAAGCTGTCTGAGTGTGTTGCGAGTGTTGCAGCCAGTAGCGGTGAGCAGGTTGATGGACTGGTCTGTGAGTCCCTGGCAGTGGGACAAATCTAACCGGTGCAATGAAGGCATATGTCTAACGATCATCTTCAAGGTGGAGTCGCTCACATCCAAACCAGCCAAGCTCAGAGTGAGCAAACCTCTCAGCCGACTGCGACTTTCACTGCCTGTTTGACGTGAAGGTAGAGGTGAAAAAGAGAGTGAATTTCTGCTCACACTGAACACATTCTCCCATTAATAATGATTATGAGTGCCTCACCTGGCTGCACAATGAGGTCTTTTATTTGTGAATCTTTGACACCCACGGTCCAGCTCAGGTCAAGTGTTCGCAAACCCGGACAGCTCTGTGAACTTAACGCTGACACACATAATGAGGAGCAACCTGACATTATAAGATCTTTCAAACCTGTGAGGGGGGGGAAAAAACAGAAAGAGAGAGAGAATATTTTAGTCTCAACTGTGATGCATGCTTTATTTTTAAGCAATTTCATGTAAACATCAAAACATCAGACATTTTCAAAGTTTAAGACTATAAAATGCTGAGAACTGGTACTTGGGAGGTGATGAATGAGCCAGGCAATCTGTTTCTTTGATACTGGTGTCCAGGAGAGATCAAGTGTCACAGGTTGTCGTTTTATGACGGCTGACAGAGCCTGAGGACTGAGTGCCCGACATCGACTCAGATCTATCTGTGTCCACAAGCGCTTATCAAAACACCTACAGCAAAAGAGAACCAAAACAATTACTTTGAGAGAAGGGGGACAAAATTCATAAATTAACCAAAATGATCAAGATCATGACCTTTCACAATTATGAATCAAGATAACTCTCCATTTTAAAATTGTGTACTACTGTGAAAAAAATAAAATAAAAATACCATCATCCTTTCAGGAAGTTACCTATGCAAATGTGTCTATCTTTATATTCTGTTTTTGTCGACCCCCACAACATAGTGTTGTTAACA